CTCTAAATGTGAGTAATTCCATGCCGGATCCTTTCTTGAACCTTCACTAGGCATCTTTTAAAGTTCAAACTACAATCAAGTTCAATAGAAATTATGTAAGCTGCAAATCAATCTAATTTTCTATAACTATAAGCACCATGATTCATTCTATAACTATAACAACTAAACATACTTTCAATAATAGAACCTAATTATATTATATGAAAATAATATAACAGTAAACAGTTGCTATTTACAATTTGCGATTGTCTTTTATAATTTAGACTTTAGAGTACACTTCACTAATTATTTCATTTTAACATGTTAGAATGATTCAATGGAACAAATACAGGCATACAATTTGGCTGCAATTGTGATTAAGCAAAGTAACTGCAGAATGTGTTGGCTCAAATTGGGAAATAGATCCGTCACAGACTCACAGTCACTCTCTACGTGGAGAGAGCTGATAGATCGGTTTGGAGCTAATTTTTATGGATTCAGTATTTCAGTGTTAAGTAACTTAAGTTTGATGTTAATAAATTTGACTTCAATTTGGTGTTAGTTGTTAACTGGACAACTTCTTCTCTCTATCAGTCTATCTCTCTGTATTTGGTATTTTGGTGTTATGTAAATTCTGTATAGATTAGAAGCTTTGTATTCCTCTGCAAATTTTACAAGAAAATCAATTAAATACCTTCTGATTTCAATAATTTTTTTTTTTTTTTTGGGTAACCCGTAACCAAGAAAAAGAATTACATTCAATCTGTCACATACAGGCTACAACAATCCAAAAAAAAATAAAAAATAAAATAGCAAGTTTCTTTGAAGTTTGAACAGAGTAATTGGTAATCGCATTTTGAATTCTTGATCTTTTGAGAAAGTGGCATATGAAATGATTGTCACTTGCCCAAAATAAAGGTTAGAATCAATCTGTTGGGGTAACTGAATGACGAGGTTCTTTACAAAAAGGTTTAACCAATCTACTTCCCTCTTTAAAGTTCCAACTTTCTTGTTTATGTCAATTATATACCAACAACTAACTTGAATCCTTGAAATTTATAAATTCGAACTATATATATACATATAGAATTCCTGATGGTTCGATTGATACTTGATATATATAACTTTCTTGGTTACTTGATACTTCAGTGCTATGAATTATGATATGGTTCGATTTAGTTATCAAATAATTTCATTCACCTTGTTAACCTTGAAATTTATAAATCAGAACTATATATATACATATAGAATTCCTGATGGTTTTATAATTCTTCTCTGTACCTTAATAGCTACTCAAGAAAAAAAATAAAATAAAAAAATAGAGAAAAAAAAGAAGAATAATAAAAAAAAAAAAAACTGCCAAACTCGACTCTACAGTCGGTCGAGAGAAGAAAAGAAGAAGAAAAGAAAAAAAAAAAAAAAAAACTGAGACAGATCACAGATCCGAGAAGAGAAGGAGAGAAGAAGAAGAAAAGGAAGAGGAGAGAAGAAGAAGAGAAGAAGAAGAGAGAGAAGAAGAAGAGAGAGAACGTACCGGCAGAGTCGCGGTGTCGCCGACGGCGTAGATCCAGCAGATCCGACACAGATGACAGATCCGAGACCGAGAGTAACTGTTGTCCAAGACTCCAAGTCGTCGCCTCTGTGATCTCTGTCTCCGACTTTGTTTTGGTGTTTGTTCTTTTGTTTTTTGTTTTTTTAATGTGGTAACGAAGTGTTATAAAAGTAATAATATAGAAACAATAAAATAATAAAACAAATCAATAAAGTCAATAAACAAATCAATAAAGGCGCGCCTTTGTATCGCCTTTAGCCTTGCGCCTGTAGATAAAAGGCGCTCGCCTTCTGCAACCCATGCGCCTTAAGGTTCTAGAGGCGCTGAGATGGCGCCTGGAGGCGCCTTGAGCCTCAGGCGCGCGCCTCCGGCGCCTTTGACAACTATGGCCTTATGCGCACTAAAAAATATGATATATAATCCCTATTTATATGCTCTCTCAAAAATGTGTAAAGAGATCTATACGAGTATGAGCGCCTACAGGTGTTTATATTTATCCAAGGCAATTAGGGTTTTAGAATTGTAAACAAAACCTTTTAGAATTCTGATTTGAGAGGGTTTTCATACTACTTTAGACTAATTAATTAGTTGAGCTTTCAATCAAGAGCAATTATCATAACTTTGATCGAAGCATACGGATCTTTGATAAAAAATTTGCTGTAGATTTTGGAATCGAGACATGCTTCATTCTTTCTTTCTTTTTTTCTTCTTCTTCTTCTTTTATTTATTAAATTTTTTTATGTAAGTTCCTTTTTGAAAATTTTGATCTGAAAGCAATTTCATTTATTCAAAACATCCTTTTTAATTAGTCAAAGCATGTACACATTATTCCCTAGTATGAGCAATGATAAGAAAATGCATGATTATGAACCCTAATTGGTGAGTTAACAATTTTGGTGGTGAATTTACCTTTTCCCCTTTTTGATCTTCAATTGCTATCTCTTCATAGTCGATGAATCTGAGGTAACTTCTAACCTAACTAACTAAACCAACTTTTGAAAATAAAAAAGAAATTATTGACTCCAGTCTTTATTATGAAATTTGCCGACGCTAAGTTTATATAACCTCACAGGAACTTTTGTATATTTATATGCACCTATATGTTTCTTTTGTGCTTTTTATTTTTTTTATTTTTATTTTTCTAGTAAAGGTTCTTTTACCAAAAAGAAGATTGTATAATTCAACTCAAAGTTGGCCATATGCATAGGGTTGGCAAAGTGTGGCACGACCCGCCAACGCGACTCGAACACGATACGAGTTAAACGGGTTCGGGTTGACCTTAAATAGGTTCGGGTCGTAAACGGGTCAACACGATTAACCCGACTAGTTAATCGTGTCGTGTTCAGGTTGAACTATTTAGTAAAATACCCTTAGATCGACATGAGACAATTATCGCTAGATAACAGTTAGGAGTTAGGACAAACAAAACCAAGAAACTTCCACACCCAAGGGTTCAAGTTACCAATATTTATTGACATAATAATCAGCGACAACCAAGAGCAGTACGTCCTCATTTGATATATCTGGGAAGGTTCCTTCTGGTCTCATGAAAGTTTGAGGAAGAACTAGGAAGTGACCTGGCGGTGAGAAGACCATAGACAACAATGTTGTCCATCAGAGAGCTACTTGAGCTGGCTCTTGGAGTCTTGATGTCACTGCTAAGCGGCCTCTCCTTTTGCTTGATAATTATCTTCTTTAGCAACTTCCTGATCAAGAGCTTGAATCATATTTTCATTCTTCTTTATTTGTGATTCTTTAACTTGAAGGTGCTTCTGCATTGTTTTTTGTGTCTTCCTTCTTTCTTGGGGTAAAGTCCTTTTCTTTGTTGCTCACTTTATTTTCTGAAGAAGGTTGTGATTTGGCCTTTTATATTTCTTATTTGCTCAAGAGCTTGCCATTCTTGCTTTTTTGCTTTGCTATAAGTGTTATTGTGGCTAAACCTTGTAAACATCAAATTCTTGAGGTTTCTTAGTTTATTCTTCTCTAATATCAGCTAGCTCTTTCTCATAAATTCCACATTAAACGAGTCTTGAAAAAGGTACTGTAAAGAATCCTTATGTGTAATATGGCTTCTAGTAGCTGTTGTTTATCCAACTGAATGGATCTGCCAATTGATTAGCATCAGTTGCTATCAAGCATTACTTACTGTATGTCTTACACTCTAAAGGAATATAGAATATATATATATTTTTTACTCTAATGTGGATCTTCTTCCTTTCCTTCATTAGCTTGAGTTTAAGCTTTCACATCATTGGAACTATCAAATTGCTCACTATATGTGAAGGTGCACTTTCAAGAATGAATGTTATATATAAACAAGACACCAATTTCTGTGGTTGGAATATATGGGAACTTCATTGCAATAAGTATAGAACTATATCCTCCCAAATAGCCTGTAAGAAGGCCAGAAGGGAACTAAAGCCACCCCTTCATTTTTCTTAGATTTCGTATAACCTAGTTTAATGGGCTGACTTGTTTTTTCTTGAAATAAACTAGTCCATTTAATGATGGGTTGTATTAGGCATGGTTTAACCTAGTTATGTCTTTGGGTTGGGTTTTCTGTGGGTAAATGCAGGTCGTGGCCCTATGGTAGTAGGATTATCGATGGACACATGTATGCCCCAATTTTCAGGTCCTACTTCTTTCGTAATTACTATAGGTTCACTAGGAGTACGAATGGCACCATCATATAGGATAAAGGCAAGGATGACGAAGATGATAGGTTTACTTGGAGTAAGAGATTTTCCATGTTTGTTTACCCATAAGTATGGTTTATCACAATCAACTTCTCTCTTAAATATTAAAAGCTAATCGAAGCATAAATTTTAATGCGCTCTGATGTGCTTATAAATACTTTATAACGGGTATTAGTGAACTTTAGAATTCAGTTTCTTTAGAGGAGATAGGTTTTTGGTAAACAGCATTGGTATTTATAATTCAAAATTTATTTGGATATTCACAACTATAGAAATGGATTTAATATTCTAATGTTTGGTCAACATCCATTAACTGTTCTACAAGTATCTCAAAATAAAGTTGCTATATGGTTTCCGGTTTACCCTAAAAATCAAAACATCATATATTGGTACTGGTAAATGAGGAAAGTATGGGTTGCATAGCATAAGAATGAAGGTTCAAGTAAAAGCAATCTTGTGCAAATAATGCTGAAACCAGTTCACTCCTTCCAGCAACCCAGATGAGTGTTAAGATCTGACTTCCGGAAATAAACTCGGAGAACAGATTTGATGAGGAGGAGAAACAGTAGAAACTTGGTGGACTGAACAATGTAACAGACGTTATCATTAATACATTAATTTATTATGGACCCCACTATCTATTAATCAACATCTTATCCAATTCATCTTAATTGATACTCTTATGCACAAATTGATTCCCAAAGAAGGTTTTAGTGATCAGAGATGTATGAATCCATCTATGTTTGACTGGTTCTTACATTTGATTTGTGCAGAATGTGGATTATGAGGCTACTTTGGCTGCAAAGCTATCAATTTCCAAGAAAATCTTTGCTCTTGAGAAGGATCTGATACTAAATTCGAGTTTCTTCCAGAAATTTCTCTCTGAGAATGAGGTTATAAATCCATATAGCTCAATGGCATATGTTCTTAAATGTTGTGACACGACTTCCATAAAAGTCTTATTTAATTTTTCTTAGATTTATCTTTGACATTATCAACTTCTTATGTACTCTTCGATAATTTGATTTTATCTTCTAAGTCTTCTTTTCTACCTGATTGACACAGGATTGGTTGAAACCCTATGCAGCATTCTGCTTTTTGCGGGACTTTTTTGAAACATCGGATCACAGCCAATGGGGTCGCTTTTCTTGTTATTCAAGAACCAAGGTAGCTCGCATTAAATTTCTTCTTGGTTAAGTTGAGGAAATGATGTTTTGTTCTGTAAAATTGTTGAATGCTTTAAACATTATGAATATTTTTTATATGGTAATGTTTTATGGTAGTTGATCAGATTCTTTCTCTTAACCTTTGTCTCTTATGTTCCTATTTTTTCAGCTTGAGAAACTTGTCTCCAAAGACAGCTTACACTATGAAACAATTTTCTTTCACTATTATATCCAGTTCCATTTACATATACAAGTAAGTCAATTTTTTTTTTTTCCTATTTAAGTTGGTCAAAATTTGTTTTGCACCTCTTTGTTTTGTGCATTTAAAAACTCTCTGTTATGAAAAGAGGCCTCTTATTGTTTTGTTTGATAACATTTTGAATGACAGTTGTTGGAAGCTGCGGAGTATGCAAGAAGGAAAGGAGTGGTGTTGAAAGGAGATCTTCCCATTGGTGTTGACAGAAATAGTGTGGATACCTGGGTCTACCCAAATTTGTTTCGTATGAACACTGCTACTGGTGCACCTCCAGATTATTTTGATAAAAATGGGCAGAATTGGGGTTTCCCAACGTATAATTGGGAGGAAATGTCAAAAGACAACTATGCATGGTGGCGTGCTCGTTTGACACAGGTTTATCATTTAGCATTGTAGTTTTTATCTTTTTTCTTTTATTGCCTGCTTGTTTTAACATTTCATTCTGTTTAGCTTAGTAATAAATTTATAAAATATTTAATACACAGATGGCAAAATACTTCACAGCTTACAGGATAGATCACATATTGGGTTTTTTTAGAATCTGGGAGCTCCCAGAGCATGCAATGACAGGTCTAGTTGGGAAATTCCGACCGTCCATCCCTCTAAGTCAGGTATAGCCTACTTTCTTACTCCAAATCATATCTAATTGACGGGGACAAGACCAGTTTTCAGCTTTACAAAAACGTTCATGTTATCTTGATTTGCATGAAAATGTTTCCATTGTAGGAAGAGCTTGAAAGGGAGGGTATTTGGGACTTTGATCGCTTGAGCCATCCATATATCCGGCAGGATTTTTTAGAGGTTAATTTTCATTGTGGAGCAGATTCATCTATTTTTCTTCCTTCTAGTGAAGTATTTATGTGCATTTATTTTTCAATTTTGTTTTTCAGGAAAAATTTGGAGCTTCTTGGACTTTCATAGCCTCCAACTTTATGAATGAATATCAAAAGCACCATTATGAGGTGATAAGTCACAGTTTATTGGCAAAACTTCTGCCATTTGTTCTTATTTTTGTCCTTCGTTACTGAGTCGTGATTGATCTTCTTGTTGAATTTATAGCTTATTTTTTTACTTACCAATTCTGGGAGGATTCAATTAACATTTTTGTACAAGTGAAAGCGATTCACGTAAAAAATGTAATTAGCTTTTCATGTACCATAGATGCATATAGGAGCTTCCTAGGTTCTCTATTGGGTAATTTTAGAACAAAATATAGACTAGGAAATCAATGTCAGAAACGTGGCTTATTATTCCTTGGATATACTTCTAGCTAATTGGTGAATGAAGCACTCCCTAAATGAGCTCAGGGGCGGCTCAGTATAATTTGAGGCCTTAGGTAAAAAAAAAATAAAGTGGCATTTTAATAAAATCTATCCACATGTTCATGTTAATAAATATAATATGCTCCTTAGTTGTTTCGTGATTTTTAACTTAACACTAAGATTTTTCCAATCTCTAGTTCCATTTTTTTTCCTTTCTGAATCCTGCCAAAGTATTTCGACATGTATATACTAGAACACATTTAAGCTTGTTATTTATTTGATTTCTAAATTAAAAAAAAAAAAAGAAAAGAAAAAGAAAGACGAGTGGCGTTCATAGCAAAAGTCCAGATGAATGAAAATTTGTGAAATATATTTTGTCAACAATTATTATTATTGTTTTTCATCATTAGCCAGTAGCATTCTGTGAGAACACACCTTTTCTTTTCTTATCCATTTTTTTTATTGATCTTTCCAGAACATGGGAAAGCTCAAATGCTAAAACACGTTACTCAAAAACATTATCATACAGTCATCTTTTAAAAAGGGCTGTAAGAACAGGGTCTAAAATATTCTTCTATCCTGGTCCTGAACTACCAGTTTTCTAGTTTATAGATGCCTTTAGTCTTTAGCATTCTCTGTCTCTTTCATTAAATACTTGATTGTTACTGCTGCTTAAATTGGCTAGAAACTTATCTTCTAATTCGAATACTATATAGCTTTGACAAACAATAATGCAAACCAAGCGACAATTTTCCAAATGATATGAAATGTTTTATATGACAATCTTGGCATACAAAACTTCTTGGTTGAAAGAGCAAAGTTTGATGTTCTTTGTATGTGCTTATTGTCCATTTTTATTCAGGAAACCTGATTTTTCTTTACTGAAATCTATTTGCTTCTAACTCTACATTATCCATTTGTTTTGTTAGATCTAGTATTTTCCTGTTAAACATTTTGCCAAGTAGGCCGGCCTTCATTTTTTTTTTCTTCTCCGTTTTTATATAGTTCAAAGAGGACTGCAACACAGAGAAAAAAATTGCTTCAAAGCTGAAGTTGTGTGCAGAAAGGTCCTTATTGTTGGAGAGTGAAGATAAAATACGGCGCAATCTCTTTGATCTTTTGCAGGTAGGAATGCAGTGCAAGAGAGATGCTAAAAATTAAACTTTCCTCTTAATACATCTTGTAATTCTTTTGAATGATTGATCTTATAATCTTGTCAAAGTGTTTGTAGAAGATTCATTTTGTGTCCTAGTCCAATATTTTAATTTATTGTTGTTGCAGAATATAGTTCTCATCCGAGATCCAGATGCTGCACAAAAATTCTATCCTCGTTTCAATCTTGAAGATACATCGAGTTTCAAGGATTTAGACGATCACAGGTATTTGAACCACATCTGTACCTTATTTGAGATCCAAAAGGACAAGAATGGGCAGTCAATAAAATCTCTCTGCATTTTGTGTTTGTTGTGATACCTTTTATTTCCTTTGATGTTTATAGAAAATCAGTCTTTTAAATCCTCTGATTATTGCCAGTCTCCACCAGTATAGCATGTCTTATCAATTTTCTCATGATACAGCAAAAATGTTCTGAAAAGATTATACTACGATTACTATTTCCACCGGCAAGAAAGTCTATGGCGTCAAAATGCTCTCAGGACTCTGCCTGCCCTTTTGAACTCATCAGACATGCTGTCTTGTGGGGAAGATCTAGGCCTCATTCCTTCTTGTGTTCATCCTGTATGTTCATTCGTTTGTTCTCTATCTCTCTCTCTCAATCTTAATTTCAGACAACATTCCACCAGAGAAGTAATTTGTGATGGACCATTTTGATGCAGGTTATGCAAGAACTGGGATTAATAGGATTACGCATTCAACGTATGCCAAGTGAACCTGATTTGGAGTTTGGCATTCCTTCCCAATACAGCTACATGACGGTAAGGTCCTCTCTAATCTAAGAAGCACGGACACGGATACGACACGCCACGACACGGACACGGCGACACGGCAAATCCAAAAAAATTAAGACACGGACACGGCGAATAGTATATATATATATATATATATATATATATATATATATATATATATATATATGATGTAGTACTTTAAAAATTACTGAGTGTTACTATTTTTCATCAACCTCATAATGAAAAAAATACACAAATCATAACTCATCTACTGTAATAGTGTAATGACTGGCCCTTAAATATCTATTTGTTTTGTCTAAAATTGTATATTAACCTTACAAGTTTAAAATTATTATGTACTGACCACATAAGTGAGTAAAAGTTATTAAATAACTTCACATATTTATACTTTAACCCAATTTGCTTTCAAAAATTATCTTTTAGACCTCCGAAAATAAGACACGCGTGTTGGACACACACCCTTTGCGTGTCGGACGCGTGTCCGCGAAGTGTCCGTGCCGTGTCCGAAAAATAAAAAAAATAAAAAATGAGATCATTTTTGTTGCAACATAATGGAGAAGTTTACACCTTCTCTACTAAGACTGAAATGAGATCATTTTTGTTGCTGTCCGAATCAAATATTGTCAAATGGTTAAATTATTTTCTGTTGGTTCTTCTTTTGGGAAATGATTTCAGAGAAACAAGATGGGGCACTGAGAATACTTTTTCAAGCCTTTTCTACCTTCATTTGCAAGTCAAAACTTGGTGGATTTTTGTAGTTCTGCATTTTTTGCATAGAAAATGCTACAAGTAAATTTTCTGGAATACTTGTTTGTATGAAAATAAAATATAATCATGCATAGTTGATTGCCTGAACCCATTTCAGGTATGTGCTCCATCATGCCATGACAGTTCAACCTTGCGTGCTTGGTGGGAAGAAGATGAAGAAAGAAGACGTCGATTTTTCAAAACTGTTGTCGGGTCTGACCAGTTGCCACCTAGCCAGTGTGTTCCTGAAATTGTAAATTTCATCCTACGCCAGCATGTTGAAGCTCCATCAATGTGGGCAATTTTCCCCCTCCAGGTATTGCAAATGACCTAATATTGTGCTAGCGAACGCAATTCTAACACTTTTACAACTTGAATAAACATAGGCTGAATTGATTCTATCAAGCGTCCGATTTGACTTCGTTATGATAATTTACAAACAAATCTTTGAAAGATTTGGAATTTATAATTTATTATCAGAATGAGTCAACTGATTGGGTTGTAACTAACTATTCCAAATTCAGTTATATTCTCCATATTTAAATCGAGTTGAGTTGTCGAGAAGACGGAATTTGCATCCTTCCTAGTTGAATTCTTTCTATATATGATCCAATCAGTATGCATCTTTAGCATACTTGTATATAAACCGCGGTTTTATATAATGTCAGGATTTGATAGCATTGAAAGAAGAATACACGGCACGCCCTGCAGCAGAGGAGATAATCAATGATCCTACAAATCCAAGGCACTATTGGCGATACCGTAAGTACAATTTGCTTTCGTTTTCTTTTGTTTCTTTTCAGGTTCAGTCCATCCTCGTAGGTTTGTTCTATACATGCAAAAGTGCTAAAAATTTGCCAGGTTCTCCCTTATTGGTTATGTGAATTTCCTGATCATCATCCTTGTCTTCATCCCTTATGAATGGGGTTGGCCACATGAATTCTCTTTTTTCATTCTTTTCTTTTATAAACCAAATCTCCTACTAGATTTAATTTTTTAAAACAATTTCTTATCACTTCATTCCATGGTAGTTCTGGTCCACCTCTATGTCACTTACCTTCTACACAAATCAATCTCCTTCTCCTCATGGATGCATCTATAGGTCGGCATTGAATATGCCCATACCACCTAAGTTTACTATCCTATTTTTTCGCTAATAGGCGCCACACCTAATTTCTCCCTAATGTTTATGTGAATTTCCTACAAGGAGAAATCAATGTTTTCTAATAAAGTACAAATTTTCTATTTACATCTAGACCTTTCATGAATGATGCATTTTTTTAATATTGAAATGTACTTGAGCATCAATTGTTATCTTGAGAGAAATAGGATTTCAGCTTAAAAAGTACAAATACGAATATAGGAAATGGGTACGACAAAACAAGACACTAATAGGTTGACACAACATATCTTTAAAAGAGTGCGAGACATACAAGCGCAAGAAAATGTGAAAAATATATATTTATATTGAAGTTTTTTATGTATGTCAAAGAAATATTCTATTGTTGTAATTGAAATGTTAAATTTATAGCTTTAACTCAAACTCCGTATCCTCAGTCAAATCGCATGTTACGTATCTTTCCACTTACTCTACCCATGTTCGGTCTTTCCCTTCCTCTAGTATTATCCTTAATGAGGACCGTGTCACTCTTCCCAACTGGTGCATCAGCTGTCTTCTTTGCTCATATCCCGACAATCTAAATCGATATACACCTACTCTGATACTAAGGGAGTAGTTTTTCATTCTCTTCCCTAAACAGTATCTTTTAACGACTACGGCAAGGTCTGTGCCCATTCACTAGTCAGATTTTATGACAACAGTGGAAAAGCCTTCAGACTATCTGCGTGCTGCTATTATTCTGGATGTCTAACCTTCATTGAACAGTTCAAATTTGAAACATAGATTAATCTAAAGGAGTCCATCAGCATAAAGCAAAAGAAAATAAAATGTATTGCTTTAAATAGGTAGGTCTTGCATGGCACTGCATCTGCATTGAAGATTTTAGGTCTGCTTTTCGAAGATTTAGATTTGCATTTTATTCCCGTGAAGAGCAGAAGGAAGTGAGTTGTGTTCTTGTTAATACCTTTACGTGCAATAACTTTCCTTGTACTCAGGTGCACACGTGACTTTGGAGTCTTTGCTGGAGGATGCAGAACTTAAAACCGCCATCAAAGATCTTGTTCGCGGGAGTGGAAGGTCGTATCCCCCTTCTGGAGAAGTCCAAGTGGGTCAAGAAAAAACCGGTGTAATGCCAGACAAGCTGAAGGTTGCCAGTGGCCAGGAAGTGTTCTCTCTACCAGTCCACCTAAAGGGAATTACTAATGAAACTCTAGCAGTATCTTAACTTCTTCTATGCTTTTATCATCCATTATATAACAGCTAAAGCTATATAGAGTTAAATAATTGTATCACGGCATAACAGTACATTGGTTTTCGCTAATGTCCCTGTTCATGCTCTGAAGTATATTATTTTGTTCCAACCCACGAGCATATCTGTAACGAATAAAGTGAGTTCTCTCACACTTTGTTGAGCTTCCTTTAGTACATCATAATTGTTGCCTTTATTCTATCATAATCACTATGACCACTACATGACAAAGTGCATGAGAAAATGTATTTGGCTGTGTAGCTTAGCGCATTTCTTAGCCTTCTAAAATAGAAAATTGAGGGTCCAAATCTAAGGATAAGTGTGTGTACTACTCATCGAATTAAAAAAATATTTCCACGGATTTATTACAGTGAATTGTTAAATCTATTTTTTATTTTTTATTTTATTTGTCATCTATGTAACAAATAAAGGAATGAAATCTTCTAACTTATATTGTGCATAAAAAATCAATCAGAAATATTTGTGTAGACGCATTTTTTAGCCTTCTAAAGTAGAAAATTGAGGGTCCAAATCTAAGGATAAGTGATTGTGTGTACTTCTCATCGAATAAAAAAAATATTTCCACGGATTTATTACAGTGAATTGTTAGATCTATTTTTTATTTTATTTGTCATCTATGTAACAAATAAAGGAATGAAATCCTCAACTTACTTATATTGTGCATAAAAAATAACTTACTTATATTGTGCATAAAAAATAAGAAATATTTAGCCACTACTCAAAAATAAAAAATGCATTCCCAAAGAAAAATGACATGATCATCCGATACACAATGCTTGAATAAGCCAGAGAAACCACGAACATAAATGGAAGAGTTAGAGAGTGTTTTTTCTTAAAATTGGGAAGTTTGGCCTTTATAAATTTGTGTAGATCAAATATAAACATACATTAAAAATTATATTAAATGGTGAAGGTCTTAAAGTAATTTTGTAAGAAATGGTATCGCAAGGATTGTAATTTTTTGAAAACATAATGGTGAAGGTCTCAATGAAAACTTTTTAAGTTTATGTTTATGTTGGCACTCCATCTTCTAATTTTAATAATTGAAATCACAAGTTTATTACTTTATCCTACATCTCCTAAATGAAGCTTATAAAATTTATTTGGAAAGCTTGTATATATAAAAAAAAAGAAAAAGGGACAAAACATTCATTTCAATTACTAAATTTAGAAATATTTTACCTGAAATGAAAAAGAAAAATATTATTTTTCGAAGAAAACAAACCCAGCCTAAATTTAAAAAGATAAAGTGACAATATGAGTTCCTATTATCAATAACTATAAAATGTTTAACTAATGTGCGCGCATCATTTGCCAGATAAAGTTTTGATTATCTTATTTACCAATTTAGGGTTAAATGGATAATGGTACCTTCTAAACTAGTAAAGTAAATTTTATTGCATTTTTTTTTATAAACAAAATTATTAATTTTTAGCTTGTAAGTACGTGCATCGTACATGATGTTAATTTAGTAGTACTCGTATCTATTACCATCATGACCGGATCTTAACCGGTGAAACCGGTAATGAGGAGGTTATAATTGAGATAAGCCGGTTATTTAGTACAATGGTTAATTTTCTAACAAATAAAAACGAGGGAGTAACCTATAAAATCGGTTGACAATTGCGAGGTACTCCGATTCACCACCATTCACGATAAAGAACTAACCATCCAAATTTTGACACGTGTAACTACTTGACTTTTCAAACTTAAAAATTTCTGACATTAGTTAGATGGCACTCCTCCATTTGGTAGTGAGAAATGTCCAGTGACAGGCTCGCCATAAAGTATGGAAGCTTCTCTGAAAATAGAAGTCCGTTGGCGGAAACATTGGGATGAACACCAACTGATTCTAGAGAGAGAGAGTTTTTAGATGAAAGTGGTAGAGAGAGAGAATTGTGGGGAAAGGTTTGGGTATTAAGGAAGGGATTAGAAGGGTAGGGAGGGGGAGGAGGAGGACAGGATAGAGGACGCTTTCTCTTTGTAAAAACTTCTTCCCGGTGACGGATTCATTCTCTCTCTCTCGCGCTCTGCCCCGTTGCCGTTCGTCCCCTGAATGCCTCACCAGTGTTCAGGGTCTCTATCTTTTTCTCTCTAATTGGTACATTTATTATATATATATATACATATATATATATATATATATATATTTTTTTTTCATATGCCTCTATTCTTTTTAAGAAGTTGGATAGTACCATTGTGAACGGAATAGAATAAAATAAATAAACAAACAAAAATAAAAATAAATATATATATACTCTGTATGTGTTTTGAAAAATTTGGATGTTGATAATGAACCCAAATAACAATATATTGAACTCACTTTCTATATTCAAGCTACAAATGTGGTCATTGTCACATGACCATCATGGGTTCATTGCATTTTTTACACCATATATTTTTAATGCACACATTATTATTATTATTATTTTCAAGAGTTTTAATTGTTTCATAGATTACAAATTGGCTGTATCTGGCAATGACTGTACAAGTATAGAGCAATATTTCATGAATTTGGAGCTCATTTTTTGTGTTTGGGGGAAAAGGAAATTAATACTAAATTAACATGGGTGATGTTTTTCTGCATTTCGCAGCACATTGTGACGATCTTTAAGCGGAGGAGCGAGGGGCTAATAGGTCGGTATGTTATATATACTTTTTGTTTTTGGTTTTGAAAATATAATTATCTTCATACACTTGTTCCTATTTGTTAATTAATTCATTTTATGGAGGGTAGAGAATTTGATATGTATGCACAAAAATGTGAATAAATTTGTTTATTTTTGTAGGTCGTCGGAGATGTAACAAAATGGGTGCAACACTTGACATATTAGACATTGTTTATGCCCATTTCCGGTAACTTTTATTTGTTTGTTTGTTTGGTTGTTCAATTAATATTTTTATTCCTTTTAAAGCATAAAAACTAGATCAACAATTGTATAACTGTTTGTAATGTAAACCTGATCAACAGTGTTTGTATAAACTCTTTTGACTGCTAATATATACTTAGCCAATTCAACTTGATGAAACTTGTAGAATATTGTGTAAATGCATAATGTTGTGATAAACTGAGTTCTAAAGGAGTATGCTTTCTATTGAATTTGTAGACCTGAGATGGCTAATCTTCAAGGGAAGACTTATTCTTTCAAAATCCTATAAAAAGCTGTCAATCATTGGCTTGCACTGCAGCCACTCTCACCTGCGTGACATACCTGGAGATGGCTGTAGTTGTCGATCAAAATCATGGTTTCAAGCCGTTTGTCCGACCTCCAAGATGCAGACTCCAATCCTACTCTCAACTCGACCACACCATGCTCGAATTCACCCAAAACAGTCTTGTCCACTCCTTGAAACAAGCCGTCGAAGTCACTAATATCCACAGAAGCTTTTCTACACCATGTCTGTCCCTTGGCACTAGACTGGAGGAAGAGTGCTCCTGTGATGCTAATCCAAGGATTGAAATTATATGTGGCCATGGGGCCCCAAAAGTATATGCTCTTGTAGTTGAGGTTGCCATAGCAATGGCTTCTGGTGTCAGTCCTGTGCCAGCCACAAGTGGGCTAGGCGGTGCCTACATTTTGCATGGTCGAAATGGTGAAGCTATTGCTGTGGCAAAGCCAATGGATGAAGAACCTCTAGCACTTAATAACCCAAAAGGCTTTGCTGGCCCTATGCTGGGGCAACCTGGCATGAAACGCTCCATCCGAGTGGGTGAGACAGGCCTTCGCGAATTGGCAGCTTATCTCCTTGACCATGGTGGCTTTGCTGGTGTTCCTCCAACAGCATTGGTGAAAATTTCTCATGTTGCATTCCATGTAAATAATTCAGAAGCAATTTCGGCTCCACCTTACAAGATTGCCTCACTTCAACGCTTCGTGGATCATGATTCTGATGCAGGGGACTTGGGTCCCTCTGGCTTCTCAGTTGCTTCAATCCATCGGATTGGGATACTCGATGTGAGACTACTTAATCTCGATAGACATGCTGGGAACATACTTGTGAAGCACGGGCATGAGAGTTATGCTGTTGGGGCTGCAGAGCTTGTGCCCATAGACCACGGGCTTTGCTTACCCGAGTCACTTGACGATCCCTATTTCGAATGGCTGCATTGGCCTCAAGCAGGAGTTCCCTTTTCGGATTCTGAAATTGAATACATATCCAATCTCGATCCATATAAAGATGCAGAGCTGCTAAGAACTGAAATTCCATCTCTGAGGGAGTCTTCTATTCGGATTCTTGTGCTTTGCACAATCCTTTTGAAGGGAGCTGTTGCTGCTGGTCTTTGTCTTGCAGATATAGGTGAGATGATGAGTCGAGAGTTCTGTGGGGGAGAAGAAAAATTCAGTGTATTAGAGAATCTTTGTTTGCTTGCAAAGAATTGCATGAGTAGCATGTCAAACAATGGCAGTGGCAATGATGATCAAGGCAAAGAAGAACTTGAAATGTTTCAATTTGACTATGAATGTGAGGATAGCTCCAATCAAGTCATTGAACTTCCTAAACTCTTGCAGAGCCCTGCCATGATAGGTAAGCCACCAAAATTTTCATATTCAAAATCCATGAGTGGATTGCTTGATTCAACAGCACTATTGACTCCGTTAAATGAGGAATATGATCGCAATGCAGGCAGCATTTATATCGCGAATGATGGCAAGAACAATGATGATGATGATGACAACAATGATGATGACGGCGATGGAAGTGAAGATGATCATAAGTTGGGGTGCTTGATGAAGAGCATGAGTTTTTCTGTACCAAATTGTAACCATGAAAGTGAGAGCATTTCTTTCGGGGAAATGATTGAAGAAGAATGGGAATTGTTCTTGGAGAGTTTTGAACAAATTCTGCCTGAGGCTTTTGAAAGCATAAAGAGCATGGGCCTGTTGAAGCAAAGGTTGGGAACTTCTTGTAAGTTTTGAAGAATGTTTATGTTTGGAGAATGAGAAAGTGTTGGTTTGTATCAAATGTGGAGAAACTGTACATTAATGGCCAAAGAAATGCTGTAGAATGTAAATATATAAATACTTTAGGGAATGAATGGAAAAGGGATTGCTAGCTGCGATCCTTTCCATCTCACCTTCAAGTTTCTTTTTTTTTTTTTTTCTTATCAAAAGTTGTACACAAGTGTAGAGGAATGTCTTCTTGCACATGATCTTGTAAGCTTTCTGTTGGAAATTTCAAACTGTTAATATTGATTATTATTGGTGGTGTTTAATGTATTGTTTATGTTAAAAAGAAAGCCAAAAAAAAAAAATCCGTAGTACAAAATTGGTGCATTGAGAGTTGGGATTTATTAGATTTGTACTTTTTTTTTTTTTTTTTTTTTGTTTAGGGATGCTAATCACAGTCGCTAGTTGAGGGGATGACGTGTGTGTTTTATTTCCTAATAATTAATTACTATTTTTTTACTAACTTCCTTTTGGTCTCTCATTATATATAATTACTATAGTAGCCTCCTAATTAAGAAACTTCCGAAACCTCCACGGTTCCATCTCACTTTAAAATTTTATTTTTTACAAATTTTTAATAATTAATTACTATTTTTATACTAACTTCCTTTTGAGTCTCTCATTATATATAATTACTATACTAGCCTCCAGAAATCAGTGAAAAAAGTACTATAATTTGGTTCTCTCTCTAAAAAAATCAGATGGAAAAAAAAAGTATAATCTAAAAAAAAAATTATAGTATTTTTTTTTTATTATTTTATGATAATTTTTTTTAAAAAATTTTTTAATCTGAAAAATCAGAGTAATACTCCGATTAAGATATGGACTTTTGTATAAAGAAAATTTTAGTGTTGAACTTTAAACATTTAGATATGAAATTTTGTAAAAAATAAATTTTTAAAGTGAGATGGAACCGTGGAGGTTTCAGATTAAAAAAATAAAAAAATGTGAAAAAGTACTATCAGATCCCTATTATCTGTTTCGAAGTATTTGGTTGTTTTTCAAATAAAAAAAATAAAATCAGATAAAAAAAAAGTATAATCTGAAAAAAAAAATTATAGTACTTTTTTCTTTTTATTTTATTATAAATTTTTTATTTTATTTTTTTATCTAAAAAATCAGACTAATACTTTGAATACAAAGAATACGGATTTGAAAAGATTTAGATCTTAACTTCAAATATTTAGATATGTACTTTTGTAAAAAAAAAAAATTTAGTATTAGAACTTCAAACATTTAGATATGAATTTTTGTAAAAAATAAAATTTTAGAGAGATGGAATCGGGGAGGTTTACGAAGTTTCACTGTTAGAAGGTTAGTATAGTAATTATATATAATGAGAGACTCAAAAGGAAGTTAGTAAAAAAATAATAATTAATTATTAGAAAAGAAAACGCGCGTCAATCCCTCAACTAGCAACTGAGATTCTACAATTGTGAGGGCGGCTATGATTACCATCTCCTTTGTTTTTTTTTTTTTAATCTTCACAATGGTGAGATATATACTATTTGGTCTTGTTGTACACGCTGCGATTGGGCTTAGTGGAGTCCTGTACGGAATGTACTATTAGATTCCTTTTCCCCCTGCTTTCCTCTTTGGAAATCAAACATCGTTTCTACCCTCCTCTACTCTCTCTCTCTCTCTCTCTCTCTCTCTCTCTCTCTCTACCCTTTTCTCAAAACCAGCAATCAGCCATGGATGTCGACATTGTGGACTACGAACTACCCGATGACACCCACAACCTCTACGACGTTACCTTCTTCGACTCCCAAATCCACACCATAGTCACTCACACCTCGTCCTTTGTCGACGGTTGGATCTCCGACATCGAACACATCCACAGTCGCCGCCTCCACCGCCTCATCGTCGGCCTCGACGTCGAGTGGAGGCCCAGCTTCAACCGCTACATCGAAAACCCCGTCGCGACATTGCAGCTCTGCGTTGGCCGTCGATGTCTCATCTACCAACTACTCTACGCTGGCGGCATTCCACAATCCCTAATTGACTTTCTGGGTAACCCTAATTACACATTCGTCGGAGTTGGGATCGACAGCGATGTGGAGAAGTTGACGGGTGACCATGGTTTGGTGGTGGCCACGACGGTGGATCTACGCGGACTGGCAGCGGCGGAGTACGGTTTGAGGGAGCTGCGGAATTCGGGGTTGAAGGAATTGGCGAGACGGGTGCTTGGGAAGGAGCTTGAGAAGCCGAGGAGGATCACCATGAGTAGGTGGGACAATGAGTGGTTAACAGCTGATCAGGTACAGTATGCTTGTCTTGATGCTTTTCTGTCTTTTGAGATTGGGAGGTGTTTGAATGCAGCAGGGTTTTAAGTTGTTGGATGGAGTAGAAGTATGTGTGAATTGGGACCTGGGTTTTAGTAGACGGTTTTTGGTGAAGGTTTGAGATGATAATTTTGTTGATACGAATATGTTTTGATGAATGGTTTTAATTTGTGATTTGGGTGACTGGGACATGGGGTTTTGTGAATGTGAAGGTTTGGGATGTTTTTGTTAATATTTGGTATCTTCTGATGAAGATTTTAGATGGTGGATTTTAAATAATTTCAGTGTTAGTTTTTATAAATTATGATTGCCTTTGAATTTGTGTGATAATTGATTTTTATGTCAAATGATTGCTTTATCCTTGTAGGTCATGTATGCAAAAACTTAATAGTTTTGTGAATTTATGTGATGCTGCTGAAGGGATGGACACTTGAAATTGGGATGGACACTTGATATTTAGTTACAATGATATATACTGTAGTAAATATTTAGAATTATTAGTTTCTTTCCTTAGTATTTTAGTTAGAGTGAGTTTCTAATCATATAGTTGGGAAATACAAATTTATTTTTATTTAATATAATTTTTTGAAAATCTTGCTCAATTAAGGACCCATAATTCTATGCTTCACTAATATGCAAGCCATGTAAAAAAAAAAAAAAAAAAAAAAGCAAATTGATTTTCGAGAACTGTAAATACCTTTTGAGTGATGATATTTGGACAGAAAGATCCAGCTGAAGAGGTGTGCCACTGTGCCGAGTGATTTAAGGCCCTTGGATGCATTTGAGGTGGGGTCGGCTGGACCTTTCAATCCAGAAAACATTATTTATACCTTTTAGGAGTGGGATTAATATCTGGAAACTTGAATGGCCATAGTTTATAGGGAATGGGATCTAGATGCCAATGAAGAAAACTACTTTAAGTAAGTAGTTTACCCTCCCTATCTTGTGTTCAAAATGCTTGGCCTGTTGGGATGAGTTAGGATGTAGGGAATCAGGATAACTTATTTACTTGGATGGTTGGGTGTATAGTTTCTTTAAAGAAGCATCTTGAAGGAGATTTGGGATGGTCTTTTCATATTTTGTTGTGTTTGATGTATTATAATGGTTGGAAATCTTGTTTTATCTCCTAATTTATGAGGATGAAGTGTTTAGATATTTTTACATATCAAACAAATTATTTTACCTTTGAAATTGTATGGCTACACCTTGTATGATTTTTAATATTATTCTATCTGCTCTCTTTTTGGAAGTAAAAGCGACAGGATGCTGTATTGCTGAAGTTTTTCATCTCCATCAAGGATTTCCTAATGAACTCTGCATTGTAATTAGGTTTTTATTTTGTTTGTGGCTTCAGTATTTTCTTCTAAGAATCTTGCAATGTACTTTAAATGGGTATGCGATTTTTAATGCGGGTGGCAGTGTTTTTTCCTTTGGTAGATAAGTCTCACACACACCCCCATTATTATCGGAATGGAGACTTGAATCCTCACACTTCCATTTGGAAGGAGGAGTGGGTATTACTTGGGCGAAGCCCTCAAGCCCTTGATTTGTGGTCTTTTTGTGTGTGTGTGTGGTTGGGGAATAGTATGCTATTTTAAAATGGGAATCTTGCAATGTTGGAACTAGTATGCCATTTTTAATGTAATGCTCATTAAATGCATATCAAGGTGTTGAATTATAAATTCGATAAGAAAGACTGTTGAAGATAAATGTGTGAGCTTCCCATTTTGTTGCTTTACACAATAATACTAGATTCATGCATAGGAAAGCAAGAACTCAATTGTTTACTTGAAAAAAAAAAAAAATCAGAGCACTCAATTCATTGTAGATTGATGCATTTCAATAATTCAGTAATCGGAATTTGAGTTTGTTGGAGACCTACAGATATGTTCCTGGAGCTCTTTAATAATTTTGCAATCTTGTTCTGGTAAATTGTATTGATTACTTATTCTTGTCTGACTGGACATATGGAGGTGATGTTTTTGAGGCCTTTTCACTATTTGATGACCACATTTTAAGTCTTAATATCTGTTCTTATAAGCATTTGGTTATGATGGTGAACACTTTAGATACTCTTGTATTTGTACATGTTTGCCTCATTGCAATGTTAGTTACTGCCAATTAGAAACCATGGTCTGAAATATCTATTTGAACTTTCATTGGAAGTGTCTTCACAATATTCAGTTATTCACAAGATGCAGATCCGCATCAATAGTTTCTCTGAGTAATCTCAACTTATTAGATCTGTGGGCACTAAACATTAGATCATTCCATTCTGCTTTGTCAAGTATCAATATTGTGAGATTGTAGATGTTCTCGATCAAGAAGCGTGGATTTCCTTTTGCCGAGAAGATTGCTGAAGAATGGAACCTCCTAAAGCTTGTTCTTCGAAACAGACCACACCAACCCTTTCTTCCCCCTTTCAACCACCATACCAGCTCCCACCACCACCCCTCAACCACTGCAACCACCATAGCCAGACATTTTCAGTTTTGTTGATGATCCCGCCCATTCCTCTTGATTAGGGTTGGCATCTCCTTTGTATAATTTTTCCTTTTTATACATTTTCTTACTTATCGAAAAAACATTACTTTGTTGTCTCACTGGAACCTATTTGCATGTTACTTGAAAGATGGTTTGTGATGTCTTTGATGAGATATTAGATTTCGGAATTTCTGAACAAATTGTCCAGTAGCTGTTCAATGGAGATTTAGCTAGGTTATCCCAATTTATTATTAACTGACTGCTATACCATAAATTACTTTGCATAAGCTCATCGAGAGAGAAAATTGGACAAAATAATGATTTGCGCCACTGCTCACGAACCAAAAACACCAAATTTGAAAAATATTAATGTTTAATTTAAAACTATAATTTAAGAATTCTCAATATATATATATATATATCACTGTTCATTATTATATTGAGAATTCTGCTAATGAGTGTGTTTACTAAAGGTTGACCATTTCAAATATCCTCCCACCAACTTCCAAACGGTCCATTGCCGTAATAAAAGGTAGTAAATTACACTTAGATCTCTTGAAGTTTGGTCATTTTTTATCTAGATGAAAATTTTGATTTTAATTTTTACTTATACTTGTGATTTTGTATTTCACTCACCCCAAATATCAATTTCTATGATGTTGGAGTATTTTTAGGTATAAAATGACTATACTACCTTTTGACATCCTTATTGATTATTTTTTTTTACCAAACTACCCCCAAACACAATCACCACAGCCTGCCTCTCTGTTTTCTACATGGCCTTCTCTCTCCTCTCCTTTTCTTCCTCGACTCCTTTTCTTCCTCGACTCCACCTATGCATCAATCCTGCTCATCCCTCACCCAAATCCCACCTCACCAATCTCTGATGGCCCTCAGTCCTATTTGAATCACTTAACTGCTCTATAATTTACACAGAGTTTACATTAATTTTTGGGATTCTTCTCATTTTCCCAAATATTAAATGGTGGAAGAGAGAGAGTCACCGACATTGTTTCACCGGAGACTCGCAGGAAATGATGACGTACGGCACAATCCCGACGTCGAGGATCAAAGTTCAACTACCTCTCCTACCTTTCCTGCTCAAAGGAACGTGTGAGATCTGGCTTCAACACGCGACGGCTATGGAAAGAGATCGATGTTCAACTTCCGATCAGTGAACCATTCGACTGGCTTCTGCGACGCAATCGAACGGATCAGAACGAACGTCGGTTACTTCCGCATGAACTACGCCATCGTCGTCCTCCTGATCTTCTTCCTCAGACTTGTTTGGGGACGAAGAAGCCGCCAGAGCTGGTGAATTTTGACCAGAACCGGTGTCCCATCTTCTTACTCTTAGTTTATTGAAGCATTCATTTATCTGCAAGGTTTTGGCCTTTTATAATTGTACCTCTCTGTTAATGTGTGATACTGAGTGCTTGATCTCTAGAGGATATGGTTGAATCACAGTGGATGAACATGGGAGGGCTAATTCCAACAATATAAGCACGTACAATTTGTGGGGATCGGCAGCATTTTCAGATCCTTTTTTTTTTTTTCCCCCTTAGAATTTCGGTCTGTGTGTTTGTTTCTCAAGAAAATACCCTTCTTTTTGTTATTTTTCACAGCCCAAACACCTAAGACAGAGGTTTTAGCATCTGGGTCTTTGTTTTTGTGAAGTTTGGGACCCAGAGTTTTTGAAGTTTTGTGGGTTGTGTGAAGAGTTTTTTTTTTTTTTTTTTTTTTTTTTTTGTGTTTGTTCGGGGATTTAGTTTATTGAATTGGGTTTACTAAATTTAGTTTTTTTTTTTTTTTTAAAAAAGAAAGTTTCTTTTATTGTGTTGTTCGATTATTAGAATTGCATGTTTACTCTTGTGATTTTTTTGGTAGATGAGAAAATTGAAGACATAAACCAAGCAAGCAAGCCACATATAAATGGATGAAATGGATGCACAGAATAGTATGCGTTTTGTTTTTGGTGTTTTGTTTTTGGCTAAAACAGAAACAATGTTTTTGTTGCAGGGTGTTTTGGAACAAATTCGAAAGTACGTTTGGAAATTATACTTTGCTGTAGATATGTCAAAAACAAAAATATGTAAAATATGTTTGGACACATAAATATATATATTAATTTTTGCAAGGAAATGCTAGAGCGCCCCTCTCTTTCTCTCTCAAAAATCACTCTGCAACTCTCTCTTTTTCTCTGGGTTTGGGATAGCAGACCCCTGTAGCCAAACACCGCACAACCACTCTTCTTCTTCTTCAACGAAAGCTGCAACTACCGGCCAGAAACAAAAGACGGCAGCCACTGAAACACCTGCATCGATGTATGAAGCAAGAAGACAACCGGTGAAGAAGCTAGGGACACAACACAGGGAGACGACAGCAAGGAAACTCCGGCGATAGCAAAGAATGAGGTCGCGGCACGAAGAAACAGATAAAAAATTTCACGATCTGACAGACAACTCGTCGATGATGAAGACGCCAACACACAAAGAAATCTTCGGCTACTGTACTGTCCCTCCGATTACGATCCTCCAAATTGGGTCACAAGAAAAAATATACAACCCCCGAATCAAAATATCGACCCAGTTGCAGAGAGAGAGAGTGGGCAAGTTCAGGTCTGAGAACGAGAATAGAGATGGAGGCATTATTTATAGGTAATAATAGGTTTTGATTCTTACACACAGATAGATAAACTAAAATAAATGGGTTTTGAACTTCTGATTCTTGTAGATTTGGGCAAGTTCAGAGTAGAGAACGAGAATAGAGATGGAGGCGATTGGAAATCGCCCTTGAATCGCAGAGAGAGTATCGGGAGAGGAGACAGAAAATTTGTGCGAAAATGACCTAAAATGTTTATATA